GCAGCTCTCCTCGACGAGGTCGAACCGGAGGCCAACCACGTGCACAATACGGACGAGACAGGTGAAGATTCGCTCGTAGACTAGTCTATAGTAGTGCAGACTAGTCTACAGCAGTAGTAGACATGTAGCAGCAGTAGAAACGACGCGGGTGATTGCTGTGCAATGACCACGAAACATGAAATCAGGCAGAGTTCTGCCCCCTTGCGGCGTAATTTTGGCCTCCTCATGTACGGCTGCAGTGTACTCTAGACTACAGTGGCCATGCTCCGGCATTCCGGCTCAAAAATGCCGAAAATGCCGCTGGCTCTGGTCTAAAGCAGGCTACAGCAGTAGTTTCAGACACAAAAGTAGAGTACAGCACTGGTTCCAGACAATGTACTGCTGTAGACTATAGTAGTCTAGAATTAAATATTTTCACAGCTGCATCGCATCGTCTTCGGCGATTTTTAGTAGATGCATGTGCCAACACATGAAAAAACTAGACCAGACTAAACTACTCTACACAGCACCCTGCTTTTGCTCTCCCGGTTGCCTCGTCCAGCTATCGCCAAAAATGACGGTAGACTGCGTAGGTTGNAACGCCCCTCCCCCCCCCCCGACCCTCACATACGCGTGCCCGTTGCAGGTACCACCCCGCAAGGAACCAAGACGACGAAGGCGTTTGCGGAATCAGGTCAGAAGGTGGTTGGTTCGATGCGCTCCAACTCGCGAGAGAACACCACCGTGGTCGCTACCATCAGCGCTGATTGTCACACCTGGGCACCAACCATTATCTTCAAAAGGCAACAACTTCAGGCCGATTGGTTTGTAGAGCGAATCGGCCCGGAGGGTGCGAAGTACACCTGAACGGATTCTTCGTTCATGTATGGAAACGTATTCATCGCCTACTTGAAGAATTTCCACAAGCAGCTCGGCGACCTAGGGTTGCTCGACGGAAAACCCCACATTCTCTTGCTCGATGGACATGCATCATACGTGAGCGTGGAGGTAATCAGGCTGGCCGTGAATCTCAAAATCATCTTCTTCCAACTACCCTCCCACACGTCGCACATCACCCAGCCCTTGGATGTCGTCGCCTTCGGACGCTTTAAGAAATCGGTTACCAGAGTTTTGGCGTCCTTCTACCACAACTCCGGCGGGTTGTTGCCGCTGAAACGCGACATGCCCGGCGTGATCGCGGATGCTTGGAAATTGAGCTTTACACCGGAGATAAATAAATCATCATTCGCTGGGGCGGGCTTGTGGCCTGTGAACAAGGAGCGGGCGCTGGGCCGGCTGAAGGGCACAGCGAAGAAGAAAGAGCGGCGAGACGAGCGCCCACCCCTACAGGATGTCCCCATCGCCGCACTCAACGAGCAGCTGGAAAAAGACATCGGAGAAAGGGCCCTCAGGGTGCTGAGTGGGCAATGGCACACCGTCACGGGAATCCGAGTAGGCACGGTGTTACTCGGTGGCCTCTTGACTCTGGGGGCCGCGGTGTTGGTCGTGGAGACGGGGTGGGAGCGCGTGGCCGGGTGGTGGGGCGCGACCGGGTGGCAGAAGGGACGACTTTGTCGGAACGTCGATCAGCGCCCTCCGTGTCCAGGGTCGGACGACAGCGGACGCCGACACCCGTTGTCGACGTGTAGCCGTATGGATATTTCTCACGTGTCCTGACAGGTTCAGATTTGAATCGAACACTCCCAAATGGTCATGAAGTTGTACCCGCAGTCGATATGCACTCTGTAGAACGTCGCATGTGGTTCGTAGGCTATGCGACGGTGATTTTAGGGCGTGCCTGCACCGGGGGGGCAGGATGCACAGGTTTTGAACCCAACCCGGGGATGTCATCGTTTTGTCCCCGGGTGACCTGTGTGCGTGTGTGTGTGTGTGTGTTTTTTTGCGATAGATGTTTTTCACATGCTTACAGGTTCCCTCAGAAGCGCTGTTCACGGGGGTGCAAAGGTGTTTTGAAACTACATTTGTTTTCAGCGTTAATTCTTACCGTAGCGGCAAGCCTAAATCAGGAAAAAGTATCCTTATTTGACCTTTAATATATCATCAGGTGTGCTCCAATGGGCGTGGAATTGTGCGTACAGTCGAAACATACCCTGTAGAACGTGTGGTTCGTACCCTATTTGATGGTGACGTTCGTGCATTCCAGTACCGGGGGGGGGAGGGATGCACGGGCTTAGACCGAAAATCCGGGGACGCGGTGGTTCTGTCCCCGGGGTGGCTTTTTTTTTCTGAACATGTTTCTCACTCATGTTTAAAGATCCCCTCCAGAGGTTGTGTCGTGGGAATGAATGAGTATTCTCAATGGTGGATACAGTTTGGCGGTGTTCAGCGTGAATTCTTAACCGTTAGCGGCATGCTAAATCAGGAAAAAGGGTGTGTTTGGTAAGGTACATACCGAGTCGTACCAGCGGTATTATACCTCCGGTATACCGGACCGAGATGTTCGGTACGTTCGGTATGGACTTGAATACCTTACCGAAGTGTTCGGTACGTTCGGTACGGACTTCAATACCTTACCGAAAATACCGGTACGTTCCGTATGGACTTGAATACCTTACCGAAGTTTTCGGTACGTTTGTTACAAATACCAGCATGTTCGGTACGGTACCGGTATGGACTGCCATACCATACCGGGGATGCTCGGTACGTTCGGTACGGACTTGAATACCTCACCGAACGTACCGGTACGTTCGGTACGGACTTCAATATCTTACCGAAAATACCGGTACGTTCGGTATGAACTTCAATACCTTACCGAAGTAATCGGTAAGTTCGGTACAAATACCGAGATGTTCGGTACGGTACCGGTATGAACTGTCATACCATACCGGGATGCTCGGTACGTTCGGTACGGATTTCAATACCTTACCGAAAATAACGGTACGTTCGGTATGGACTTCAATACCTTACCGAAGTGTTCGGCACGTTCGGTACGATGTAAATACCTTACTGAAAATACCGGTACCGTACCAAACACGCCCTTGCAGAAAAGGTATATGTATTTGACCAAGCACCATTTACGTCGACAACTCATTTCGCCGTGCTTTTTTTTTCTCGAGTCGTCTACTGACTGGAATAACACATTTATGCATCAAATTGGTTGTTCTGCCTCGTTTCGAACGCACAGAGCACGCAATACAGGTCACGGAGGGAAAAACCCATCCCTTCACATGGTGTCGAAAACCCGGGGATACGTCATATTCATCCCCGGATGTGGATCATTTTTGTTTTTTCTTTACCTTTTCTTCATTCCTACTGTATTTTACGCATGCCCACCAAATCTTGGGCCTTGAAACGCTTTCAAACGTACGAAATCAACCAATGATGAAAGTGGCCTTTAATACCCCTAGGGGTAGTTTTCTCTCAAAATGACGCCTGCAGCTCAGGTGTACGGCTCCAGCCCTACCTCGTCACTGTTGACGTTTTTTTTTCCTTCTTTTTAAGGTAGGCAGGGGGTGATCTTCCCTTTCGCTCGAGACCACAATATCATCGAAATTCGATTTCCTGCTCAAGAACAAGCTCTTAGCACAGGGGGTGGCATAAGTGGCCTTAAATACCCGCCTCTACTCTACAGTTGATCGATTTTCAAAATTCGATTTCTGCGCAGCAGGAAAGAGCGGCAACACTGAGAAACGGCGGTGTTGAAGCCACCTCGTCTGCAACTCTCTGAAAACGTATGGTTTCATTTATTTGTTCATCCTCTTCGTCATGGAGTAAATTGAGCTTTGAAAATCGGTCCAGGGGATGTATCTTGCGTCACTCGTGGTAGCCAACATTTTCTCCGCCTGTCCCCCAAACACATGTTTAGCTTCCTCAAACCACCTCTCCTGCGAGCGCCCCAATATTTATACGGAAATATGTGCGAATACACACTAGTCTACCCGTTTGAGATACAAGCAGTTTAACAATGCATATGCCATCATAATGCCACACTCCGCATGCCATTGCAAGAACGTTTGCGCATCTCATCCCGTCGCCTCTGTCTCCCCCTTCTCTGTCCTACTGTACCAGCCTACCGGAAGCAACACAACACCACACGCAACAGCGATACTGTACGTCGGAAACACTGGAGCTATTCATCAGGTTACTGCTAAATTGTAGGGCTAACACGGTACGCAGAGCAGTTGCGCTGTGGAAGGGTGTCCCTAGGCATATAGAATACATATGTTATCCCTGACGGTTGACGCCCGAGAACACACCCGTTGACTGCTTTCGAACGGACACCTGCGTACCCTGCACCAGGCCAACAAACGTGTTCCGCGCTCCTTCGCCCTCTGTGTGTGTTAATATTTCTACAACTCCCCCCTCTCCTCCGCCGTGTATTGCACGAAGATGGAGTTTGACTTGCAAACCCTGTCGACGTAAGCGTTCCTCGTTTCGATGAGCAGCATGGAGTGATCATTGTGCTGGGGTTTGGCAACCAAGGTTTCGGAATTGTCAAGGATATCCCTTCACCCAAACCAACAGCTGTTGGCTACGGCAAGCGTGGCAGGAGTTTCGTCGTAGGCAGGCATTACGCAGGCGCAGACACAACATAGCCTTACCGAAGGAAAAGGAGGGATGGGGAACATAGCAAGTGCTGGGACGACGAGGAGATGTGCCTAGCGATATCGACCGCGCAAAAGAAGAGAACGCCGCGCGTGGGGCTCGCAAGAAGCGTTTCCTTCGCGGCAGGCCGTGTCAAGCGGCTGAGAGCCGATCTCCATCCAAACTGGGGCGATGAGGGGTGCCGGTGAACTAGAGATTTGGGGGTGGTATCTGCGACGAGGAAGTAGTTGGAGATCGCTGGCAGGAGGTTCAGTGGCGCGCACACTGGAATGCTTTGTTTATCATTTTGCTATCTCTCTTGCAAGTGGGGTGTCTCGCGTTATGTCTGCTTCACACATACAATCCGACGCAGTAATGCCCCTTTCGCCAAATCGGAGCATCATGATTCGACAGCGAGCACGGGGTCATGCTTGGCGTGCCACGGGAGCTGTACCTATGCCCCACTGCTGCTACAGTACCACACCCCAGGAGGCTATCCGCTAGTACACTGCACACAGGCAAAGGTGGACAACAGACACAAAGGCAGACAGCAGGCGAAGGGAGGCGATCCAGCCCGCAGTCAGAAAAATAGCAGGCGATTCAGCCAAGAAATCACGCGCTTTTGACCCAACAAGCGCAACAACACATCTGATGAACGGGCGCATCAGGGCTTGAACATGACGGGGTTCTCGTATCAACCACCAGAAGAAGCAACCAAAATCCGACAGACGGACCGATTCACATCTTGACGTATCTCGACTTGAACAAGGGGTGTTTCTTTGGAGGTGGCCTGGAGTCGTACTCCATGTACCTTGACCCGTCCGCTCCCGAAAGGGCTCCCAAGTTACCCTTCCGTCGCATCACCTGTATGGACAGCCCATGAAACGTAAAAAAAAGTTCGAAATGATCACGTTATGTAGTGCTGTCCATCTCGCAGTGGAGTGAACACATTGCTTGACATGGGGTGATTGTCAAGAAATAGGAATTGAGAGTATTGGAGACCATCTGATTAGCACAAAAAATGCAAGTATTCTTAATCAAAAGCACGGCACAGACCCCCCGTACCGACGTCGTTCATGCGTATCGTGTTGTACCCGAAGTATACACTTGCCGATTCATGACTCTTGGTTTAAGTTCTACATAGAAAGTGTTGTGTTCGTAGGGAAACGTGGTCTTCTGTGTTCGGAATGTTTCCCGACTTTCCGCTGCGTCAGCTCACAGCGCGCCAAGCGCGGAACCGTCATTCCGATACTGTGGCCTTGTACAGCCTCGCAAATACAGGCCTGCTTCTCAACTTTCGTTCACGCGACCAACTTTTGATGCTAGTATACACCATCAACCGATTCTTTGGTAGTATTTCCGACGTCAAGGATTCGTTTCAAAGCTTACAGTGCCCCTTGCAGATCCCTCTCCAATGTCGTCCATGTCCCTATCCAGCATCTTCTTCTCGTCCTTCTCTTCCTGGTCCGTCTTGGCCATGAGCGTTTCCTGCAGCACCCGGAGCTCAGACTTGCGGTCTGGGAGCTTGCTTTGCGACCGATCCGACGCATTCGCGAGGTCCGTCACCACCTGCAGCAGTGTACTCAGAAGCATGGCATGCACAGGGGTCACAGCATTGTTAGAATGCATGGTCCCATTCATGCTGGTCAGCATTCAAGCTCAGGACAAACCTACGTAGGGCTACCCTACATGGTTGGCGTCCGCCTGGTTGATTGTCGTTGGGACGCGTGTATCGCTGCTCGTCGTTATAGTCCGTCGAACACGTTGTCCAATTTTTGCGTGGTTTACGGCTACTCGTGTATTTCTGTATCTCTCCTGCGAGGTCTTCGTGTTTCTGGTGACTGATCTTTACCTCGACCAATATTTTCATTTAGGAAATCTTTGAGTCACACATCCTGAGCCCTGACCTCGAAGGCTCTGTGAACCGTCCCAACCTGCAAGACGAACAAGTGTTGTGCGTACACCGCGACTAGCCCTTGAGTGGGACTGACTTAATCGGTGAGAGTGGAAATAGTGCATACCGCCCCGATCAAAAGGAAACGTGCGGGTTCCCTGACGGTGTCGCCTTGACCGACAAAGAACCTACGATTTGGGAGTAGGATTGGGCCTTTCGCATGCGATGGGTAAGCGTCAGAGTTGATCTAGGCCGTGGAGCGTTCGAGTACCTTGAAGGTGTAGCCCTGGTCAACGAGGTACTGCTGCCGCTTGGACGAGTAGTACATCTCCGACGTGTCTGTGCTGACCAGCGTGTAGAAGAACGCGTTGAAACCACCGTCGACGTTAGACTGCACGAATACCGGCACGGTGGAAGTGACGTGGAGAGGGCGACAGGGCCAAAAAAAGGTGTCAATCTAGCAAGATAAGGAAAACTAACCGTTTCATCCTTTTGGTCGGGTGAACGGAGTGACATCCAGCCCCGGCCGGATTCGTCAGCGTCCCTACGAGGTACGCGAAAGAGAAACATGGAGTTGGAACGTTGACCCATTGGGAGCCAACGACGGCTGGAGGGATGTTTGGGCCACCTTGTGCTGACCTTCGTGTACAAGAAACGTGTTCGAACATCGTCCTAAGCCCAAAAACTGCGGTTTCAATCGATCGACAGAACACACCGGCTTCACATGAATCGGTCGAGAATCGACAAAAAATAAATGTTGACAGCAATGATGAGACAGACAACACAGGAGAGGTGTCAACCTGTAGAAGCCAACCGCGCATGTGTCTTCAAACATTGTCGCATCAACAAGGATCTACGCAGCCACTGCCAAATGGAGGCGATGTAAAACTCTTACCTTCGGTCGTAAAATCCGCCCCAACCGTTGAGCCTCCTGCCTACGGCTACCGAAGTGGCTCGAGATCTGCGACACAGCAAAAAGAAGCGGCATCGATGGTTCGATGGTAAGTGTTCTTGTCTCGAAGTGCAAGCAACACAGCGGACAAACGCTTCTTGTACCTTCTTTCGGCGCGCTTACGAAAAGTGGGAGTCGCCAGCCCGAAACGATTATCGTAGGTGCCTCGAACTCCGTAGCAACACGGCAAATCAATTCAACAACAACGAGCTCTATCACGGCGAAGGGCCACCCCAGGAAGAAGGACGTCAAGCAGCACAACTACTGCGTTCGCAAATCGCACTTCCAGTCTCAAACCCTACCTGGATGATGACGTTCGCCTCGGGGATGTCGATCGACGTGTCTCCCACCTTGGATAGGCCGATGCAGTTCACCAGGGGATTCACCCGAAATGTGCCCAGAATACGCGATCGCTCGCTCTCTGGCGTAGCGCCGTAGATGAACGGGATCTGCAGGATGGTGGCGAACTGCCAACGGAAGGGTAATACACGCCGGAGGGCGTCATCATAAGACGGGCTCAAGCTGCCAAAGAACAATCGCGGACCCAAAATCCCGAGTACAGACCAAAGGTACCGCGAGGAGAGAGGGGTTGCCAGAGTCACATGAAGCGCAAGCGTCCTCCCAAGAACCACGTCTG